CCTGGGGTTGTGGATGAACTTGCCCCCCAGTTGAGAACCACTGATTTAGTATGAGGCACAAGAAGGCATTTAAAAAGTGGGCAAGGGACACTTGGTGGCTCAGTTGTTAAGCATCTGCCTTTGGCTCAGGTCATGATCTCAGGGTCCTGAGATTGAGTCCTGCATGGGGCTCCTTTCTCGGCAGGGAGCCTGCTTCTCCCTCTCCCTCTGCCTGCCACTCTTCCTGCTTATGCTCTCTCTCTCTGTCTGTCAAATAAATAAATAAAGTCTTCAAAAAATAAATAAAAAGTGGGTGAGTTTAATGAAACTGCTAATAATAACCAGGTAATAAAGAGAGAGGTTCAAAATTAGGAAGAATACATAGAGATACCTGCAGCAGGCCATACACTGTGCCAGGATGTCCAACTACTCAGGCAGCTGAGATGAAGCCATGAACTCACTCAGATGAAGGCATTGACTGCCATCCACCACCAGCCCTATTCACCTTTTCATCTTCTCTCTTGCTGATCCCCCACTTGGACTCTGCTCCAAACAAAATGTCTTGTATTTTTCCACTTAGAGGCTTCTGTTCCTGTTGTCCTCACCTCTCCCCACCCCAACTTCAAGGCCCGGTTCAAATCTCCAAGAATCTGAATCAGGAGAAATTGTTCCCTCCTCTGCTTAATGGTTCACAGTGTTGATTAGGCTCTGTTGCTTACTGCTTAGTCTTTTTGGTATCTCTTCACTACGTATTTGTCCTATATTGAGATGGGACTTTGGTTTATTGTTCTATCTCATTAGTACTGTGGGTCCTGTGCAGTAAAAATATTTGCTCTCTTGTTAATTCTGGGTACGGAGAAACAAAATAGGGATCTCTGGTAGGATGTAAACAGCTTTAAAATAGCTCAATAACATGAATGAGGCAGGAAAGGGTGTGCGATAGGCTTATTTAATGCACAAGTTTTATTGACTCCTTTTGAGTTGATAGCATGAGGAACTCAATTTTTATGACTGTAATTAAGGATGACGTCAACAAGAGGAATGCATGGTGATTAAGAAGTCATCTTGAACCAAACACCTATCTGATACCCTGTATCTGATTATAAGGCTGGAACAGCTTTTCACCTGTGTGTGTGTGAGTGCATTTTATGAGCATTTTCAGTGCTGGGCCCTGTGTATGTAAGTACTGCCATATCATTTATCATCTAAACTGAGAACAGTTGACATGAAAGGGAGGCACTATTAAAAATTTTCCAGGGCAGTTGGCATACACCAAGACTCTCCCCGGCGAAAAACAACCCTATGCTTTTTTTTTTTTTTTTTTTTTACAGAGAGCTTCCCGTGTAGGTGTAAGGAAGCAGCCTAAAACATAAACTAGCTATTCATCGCTGTTTTAAACAGCCGGTGGGAAGCTTTTTCCAATAACAAACCAAGCCAAACCCTGGAATTTCATCATAGTTTGCCCTCACGCAACTATTGCATACAGGGACTTGGAACTTCTAAACAAATTTCATCTCCATTATCAATGAGAAGCTAGCCAGGAAGTCTGGCCATGGACAACTCTGACCTCCCTTCCTAGACTTTACACAGGCAGCACTGGGTGGAAAAAGAAAGTAACAATCTTTGACTCCTGGTGCTCTCAGACCCTCTGAGAAATTTCATGAGTTTCCAGGCTGTGGTTTTTAGCACTGTTCTGTCAGCCACATCCTCCCCCACTTTCCTCTCACTGATTATAGTGATGAGGTCTAGTCTCAGAAACCTTAACTTGGTCCTGGGAACCCTCTTTTGGCAAGGATATTCTAAAGGAAAAGTTTCACCCGCTGGTAGATATTGCTAGTAAAAAATAAACCTGCCAGTCAGACACCAGTGGCTCAGTCGGTAGAGTGTCTGACTCTTGGTTTTGGCTCAGGTCATGATCTCGGGGTCGTGGGATGGAGCCCCTCCTCTGCTCCACGCTCAGTGGGGAGTCTGCTTGAGAGTCTCTCTCTCCCTCTCCCCACACTGGCACATGCATGTTCACACGCACTCTTTCTCAAATAAATAAATAACATTTTAAAAAATAATAATAATCCTGGGCACCTGGGTGGTTCAGTTGGTTGGGCTTCTGACTCTTGATTTCCATTCAGGTCATGATCTCACGGTTGTGAGATGAAGCCCCACTTCGGGCTCTGTGCTCACCTCGGAGTCTGCTTGGGATTCTCTTGTTTTCCTTCTGTCCTTCCAACTCATGGGCTCTCTCTCTCTGTAAAATAAATAAAATCTTAAAAAAAAAAAATCCTGCCTGTGTTGGGGGGATGGATAAACGGGAACTTTCTATACTTTCTACCCATTTTGCTGTGTGAATCTAAAACTATTTATCTATTTTCTTTAAGCTACTTAAATAATCTCTACACCCAATGTAGGGCTTGACTCATGACCCCGAGATCGAGTTGCATGCTTTTCCAACTGAGCCAGCCAGGCGCCTTGAATCTAAAACTATTTTAAAAAATAAAGTGTAGGAGCGCCTGGGTGGCTCAGTTGTTAAATGTCTGCCTTTGGCTCAGGACATGATCTCAGGGTCCTGGGATCGAGCCCTGCATTGGGCTCCCTGCTTGGCAGGAGGCCTGCTTCTCCCTCTCCCACTCCCCTGCTTGTGTTCCCTCTCTCGCTGTCTCTGTCAAATAAATAAATAAAATCTTGAAAGAAAGAAAGAAAGGGAGGAGGAAGAAAGAGTATATGAAAACAAACCCTGAATTCTGTGATTCCCCACTTCTGAGTGATCCCCATTTCTGAGGGACTTTAAAATGATCACCTTAGAGAAACGTTCTTAAGTGGGCTCATTCTGTGCATCTTTTTTTTTTTTAAGGGGGAGGGGCACATAGGGAGAACCGGAAAGACAATTTTAAGCAGGCTCCATGCCCAGCACAGAGCCAGACCTCATGACCCTGAGATCATGACCTGAGCTGAAATCAGGAATCTGAAGCTTAACTGATTGAGCCTCCCAGGCGACTCTGCTGTGCACTTTTTTGAGCCTTTGTGATGCAATTGTGTTTTAGAATTCCTTTTTGGAACTCTTGGCTGAAGCTGTGCCCCTGACAGGGGAAAAAAAAATTCATCCGGTAGAGCACTCTACTCTTAACAGCTGCTTTCTGTGGCTCTGAATCAAGCCGGAGAAATCTTCCTAAATCTCAGGAACCACTTCAGCGCCTTGAAGGACCGTAGGAGACGTCTCTGTCTCCTTTAGCAAACACCAGCAGGAGCAGACCTGTGTTGGGCCAGTTTCCCCAGCACATGTGCAGACATGGTATGACCACCAAGCAGTAAGTACTATTTAAAGACAGGAGAACTGGGAAAATGGAGCAGAAACAAATGTGCCTTCATGCGCATGTGCGTGTGCCTGCACACGCGTGCATACACACACAACTGGCCACAGATCTAAAGTTCTTTTCTGGTAGCCCAAGCTGTATTAATGCAAGAGTCAGAACCCTGGGGGGTCCTACTGAGGTGCGACTTTTTTTTTTTCTCTTCTTCTTTTTTTTTTTTTTTTTTGGTAAGGTGGCAACTGACTGAAAAATACAGCATTGGTGAAGGATTCTTTCTTCTCCTTCTCCCTGGAACACCTTGGGTGTGGGTTCTCTCAAAGGCAGACCCAAAGGGTCTGGGGCTAAATTCTGGCCAAAGAGGCTGTTTCTGTTCACACTCTAGGACTCCCACACCTTCAGAAGGGGGATGGGCTTCAGGAGTCCCTGAAAGATTTTATGCGGTGGTTTCTGGCTCAGTGCTGATCAGCCTTCAAAGGATTACTTGGGCACCCTCCGTGAAACTTGAGCCATTGGACACTTGGAAGGCTAAACAGGAGGAGGAAAGTTCCATTTTTCCCTGTCATAATCCTGAAATGGGCTGGAAAAAAATTTAACATTGCTGCAAATACCACTTCCCTTCTCTCGCTAAATGCTGCTCCCGTCTCATCTCCTGCTCTCTATCCCCCAGCCCTCCGGTGCGGTGATAGGGTGGCCCTGTCCACCTTTAAAGCGGGTTACATTTCAAGTCAGTCAACTGTTCTATTCTTGACAAAGCACGTGCCAAAAGCAGTGTCAGGCTCATAGAATTTTAGAACTGGGCCGAGTTCCATGGACCCATGGAGGTGAGTGGGTGGGAACCAGTCTTGATTAAACGCCTGCTGAGTGCCAGGCACTGGTAGTGATTATCAGGTTTATTTAATCTCCTTGTCAACTACTATTGTTACTCCCGGTAGCCAAAGAAATCAGGGTGCATGCGGAAAGGTTAAGTGACTTCCTCGAGACCATGCAACCAGCAGGAGTCAACAGCAGGTCTGACTCTAAAGGCTGCCTCCCACTGCGTTAGGGTCATTTTGAGGGCTGGAAGGGCGGTGGGACAGCGACAGGTCCACACTGCGCCGGCATGTCCCCATCACCCTAACCCAGCTGGAAGGAGCCAGAGGCTCCTGTCTCCACATCCCTTCCTCTCCATGCGGCTCGGTGACTCACGAGCCTCCCTCCTCTGTCTCGGTCACGACCGGTGTTGTGCGCTCTATCCTGGGCTACAGGTGAGTTAGTGTGTCGGCCTGGACCCGGCGGACTCCACAGCTGAACTACCTAGTCGGGCTCCCCCTCTCTCAATTTCACAAGACACGTGACCTTACCCAGCCCCCAAACCAAGCTCGCAGTCACAATTGCCTCCCTCTCCGCACCCCGCCCGGATCCACATCAAACACGACCCATCCTTTAGTCCTCCTCACTTTTCCCCGCCCCCTCCGGGCCAGCCTTATCCAATAGCGATTCAGCCCACGGGCTAAAGACGTCAAAGGTAACCAACTGTGGAGGAGTTCTTCCCCGAGGGTTCCGCCTCCATTCTGAGGAGCAGCTCCACTGACCAATGGGCTGCCCGCTGGATGCAATGAACTCGCGGGGCTGGCAGAGCAGCGGCTGGGCCGTCCAATGAGAGGGCGGGTTCCGTGTCGGGGGCGTGGCAGAAGCCGTCGTCAGGGGCGTGGCGGCAGTTGCTTGGGCGGGGCCGGTAGCGGCGGGAGCTGCACTGGCCAGGGGTTCCGGCTGCATTTCCATGAGCGCCGCCGGCAGCCGCGGAGCTGCAGGAACCGGGCTGGGCGCAAGCTGGCCCGCGGTCAACCACGCGCAGGTAAAGCCACGGTCGAGCGAACTCCGCTAAGCCGGGATCGCGGCCGGTATCCGTCGCGCCAAACCCCTGAGCCCCGAGGTCCCCGTCGTGGCTCGGCCCATCGCGCCGCTGCCTGCGCCTCTGATTCTCCGGGGCCTGTCACCTGGCGCCGCAGGGGTCCCGAGGGTCGGCTCGCCCAGTGGCTGGGAGGGAGGCAGCCCGGACCGCAGCGGGTGGGATACGCCTTTCTGAAAGCCCTTTGTCCCCTCCTACCGCGGCTTCCGAGGATGGGGACTTCCCTGACTGCGGCCTCCCTGCCGGCCATCCCTCCATCGGTGCTCACTCTTGGGACTTCTGGGGTCTGTGGAGGAGATCTGCCGACCCAGGCCTGGTGATGGAGGTCTGGGATCCGCAGCTGGAAGGAGAGGGCCCAGGGGCCTGATTACAGCTCCGGGCATCCCGGGGGCCTCTGCGTTTCAGGGTTCCAGGGGCGCACCAAGGACCGATGGTTTCAAGTTGTAAGGAGGCAGCTTTCGACCCAGTCCGAGGCGCACTTACTGAGCTTGGCCCCGCGCCAAGCACTGTTCTAGGCGCTTCGTGGGCTTTACCCACAGAGAGCCGTCCAGCAGTGCAAGCGGCTGCCTGTCCGGGGAGGCAGCCGGTGCCTCCACCTTGGAAGCGTCCAGGCAGAGGCCAGATGACAGCCACCTGTCAGGGATGCTTCCAAAAGACTCTCAAAGGAGGGCTCCATGACCCACCTGTAAGGCCCTTCTCCATTCGCAGATGCACTCTGGGTGACCTTTAATGCCTAGCTTGAGAGGGCTTTTTCTGGGGGTCTGTTAGTTGGGAACTAGGTGCTGAATTCATCCAAATGCATTTTGTGGCCTTAACTCTGAAGAGTGGGTGTCAGCAAAGAGAATGGAGTATACCAAGAAGATAAGGTTTATTTAGCCATCATGAAACTCCGTAATTAGAACTACCTTGGATTGCATCAATATCCCCCAATCTTAATCTCCCCCAATTCCTCTCTTTTGGTTGTCTCCCGCCTCCACCCCCCACCACCCCCCACCCCCACCCCTCCCCCGCCGCCCCTTCAGTGGGTCAGTTTCACCTGCATTCCAGTAACCAGATCCAAGGGCAGGTTCCAAGAACAGGCTCAAGAGAGGGGCCTGGGAGACCATAGGTTTGGCACAGTTCATGTTGTCTGCTCCCGGAGCTTTTCCAGGGCCATTTCGCTACAACCGCATTAAGTCGAGTCCAAAGAAGAAACCATACAGTACCCCTTTCATTACTCCCTGGCATTTGCCTGAATGGAGAGGACACAGTAATCTTCTGAAGGTCAGGAGGCAAAGAAAGAGTGTAAACATAAGACCAGGTCATAGACTGTGGATGGTCAGCATGGACTTGGGATGTTTTAGAGCTCATGATCCCTTAGTTAAGAGCTTACCTAATCTGTCTTTTCAAGGCACAGGTGAGGAAACTAAGGCCCGCAGGCGTCCCAGGGCTGACTGGTCATCGCAGAGCCATGACTAAGGGATGATCAGTTGACCCTGGATTTAGCCAGGGCATGACTTGTATTTTACTTGCTCTCTTGGTAGTTAGATTCTAGGGGAGTCCAGAGAGTTTAGGAGCACAGATTTTGGGGTGAGTGCCCAGAACAGAATCCTAGCCTTACTTCTTATAAGCTGTAACCTTGGGCAAGTTAGTTAACCTCTCCATTGCCTCTGTTTCCTCGCCTATCAAACAGGAATGATGATGGTACTGAGATTGGAAGGTTGTTTTGAGGATTGCATGAGTTACTGGATCTTAAGCATTTAGAACAGTGCCCTGTACATAGTAACCACTATCGATTTGCCAAATACGATGTTCTGTTGCCTTTTTATGCCCCCCCCATATCTACCACGCAGTATTTTCTATCAGGAACTAATTTTTTTTCCTGTCTCCTGCCCCCACTTCATTAAACATATTCCAGATCTCAGTGTCGCATAAACGTCTGTGGGGTTTTCTAAGTCACACTGCACTTTAAAAAAAGGTTTCTTTTATTGAATCATGACATCCCTTCTCTCTGTTGTCCTCTCCTTGTAATCACGCTGCTTTGAGATGACAAATCTCTTTTATTCTCTTTAAAAAGAGGGAAAGAAATCCTTCAAAGTGATAAAGTCCGTGATAATACCAGTCTTCCCAGCATTCTTCCAAATTCTCAGTTCCCTCTGTTTGGCTCTCTTGTCCATTTGTCCGTGTGATGCAGCTTGATTATAAATGGATGAACATTTTTAGATTAAGATTTCATGAGCCACTGTATTAAGTGCTTTTCGGAAGTTCAAGGATCGTGTGTCAAATGCATTTAAGCAAGTTACTTAGTCATTCTAGCAGGGGGAGCGCCGGTAGCGCGGTGTTCCTGGCAGGAGCACAAGTGTGTGACTGATTTCTGCTGGTAATGTAGCTTCTTCACCGGTTTTCCTCTTCTCTTCTTGAGCTTGAAATGAACGAGATGGCAAGTATAATGGAACAGCTTTTTCTTTCTCTGTAGTTGGAAAAGTTCCCTTTCTCTTCTGTCTTCCTTTCAGCTTCGTTTCCTTTATTGTCTTCACAGTTTGGATAAACACCTTCTCTCTGTTTGCCAGCCAGTTCCCTTTTAATTGGAAGATACCCATCACCTGTATTTGCCGGCAGGCATTCGGTCACCTTTGGTTTTTCCTTCTCGGTTTTTATGAGTTTTCTAGGATGAACCAAAGATTGTCAGAGTCATGGATTGGCACCTTCTTAAGAATTGATTCTGAGTTTTGGGGTTTTGTTTCCCGGCATTCTATAGAGCTCAGCCATCTTAGTATAATTGTTTTAGGTTCTTTGTGTGTTAATATGGGCCCCTTTCTCTCCACTGCACTTTCTTTTCCATAACATCTTAGGGAAAGGCTTCTCGTTTGCCATTATTCCTTTATTCTTCCATGTAAATCTTTCTCCTGGTCATCTGCAGCAAAGCCCGCAAAGAGTCTAGTGGTTCCCCTGTGCCCAGAACACAAGACAATTTCTTTGGTCCTACGGAAGACAGAGGTGGAGTCTGCTTTTTCTTTTTTTTCTTTTTTCTTTTTTTTTCCTTAAATCCTGGTTCCTTGAGAAACCCTAGCCGGAAGACTTCCAAAGTAATAGAATTTCACGTGGCAGAATTTCGGCTGGATCTCCTGCTAACAGTATCCTGGTGTTTATTGCAATGTGGGTTTTGGGTACTCCTTGACCAATTTGAGCATGTGGCTGACTCGACCATGAGGTGTGGAAGCCTTCCTGCTCCCTTTTGGACTAAACTGTCCCCAGGAACAGAGCCCTAGGGGCTCGGTCTGCCTCTGGATGTGGTCTGGCTTGAGAATTTTGTATAGCAGCTTTCTACGTTCCAACCTCGTTGGCCATGCATGGACACTTTTAATCCCTGTGCTACTGTTTTTGTGTTGACACTGTGTGCATGCTGACATCCTCTCCCCACAGGATCGTTTTTCTTTTTCTTTTTTTATTTTATTTTATTTTAAAGATTTTATTTATTTATTTGACAGAGATCACAATAAGCAGAGAGGCAGGCAGAGACAGAGAGGGGGAAGCAGGCTCCCCGCTGAGCAGAGAGCCCAATGCGGGGCTCGATCCCAGAACCCTGGGATCTTGACCAGAGCCAAAGGCAGAGACCTCAACCCACCGAGCCACCCAGGCGCCCCAGGATCATTTTTCATATCTGCATATTTATTTTTGTTGTCTTGGTTCCAGGGCATCATGTTTTTTGGATTAAACGTTTTCATTTTATAAAATGGCTGGTGTGGCCCGATGGTCAGACCTGTTTGTTATCGGTGAAGCTTGGGCACTAGACCCCACTGCAAGGCCCCCTTGCCCAATCTTGTGTGATTATGAAGTAGCAAACAGGTAAGGAGCTTACTAGAGAACTGGAACATTGATACCCTTGGATTTGCCGTGTTTCTTATTTTTCTTTTGTTGCTTTTAAGCAGAGGTTCATTAAGTTCAACAAACGGAGCATCTGGTGTGTGCCCAGAAACCAGCTGTGTGTTCTGTTTCTGCATAAGGACTGTTTTGTTTTTCCTTTACATTGAACACATTTTTTAATGTTTTTCATTGGAATTTTAAAAAATGAGTAATGCACTTATACAATGAGCGAAAATAGTCAAAAGGCACCAAAGGCGAGCCAGTAAACACATCTCCGTCCAGCCCTGACTCCTGCTGCCGACTTCTGTTCCTTAAGAGGCAACCAGGGATACTGATTTCTTCATCCTCCAGGGGTGTTCCACGCGTCCATTAGCAAGTTCATCACCATTATCCCCTTCGTGGTAGCATACTATACATGCTATTTGGAAGCTTGCTTTCTCTTTTCACTTAGTATTTCTTGGCAGTATGGAAAGAGAGCTCTCCGTTGTCATTTTTTATGAAGGTGGACTATTTTAGATATCTCCTTTCCGTTTCTAAGGATGCTAAGAGCCCGTCTTAACTCAAGCAGTGTGGAGATCCTAAAGCATCTTGTGGATATTTAGGGGCAAACTAGGTTTCTTCTCTACATCCCGTCGCTCTAAGCCTAAGAGGAGGCCAGGTGAGGTGGAGTGCTTCCCTTAAAGGTCATCCTGGGGAGGGAGAGTGGAAGCATTGGAGAGTGAGGAGCAGTGGGCCTTGGGCCCTGCCCCTTGCCCTCTGCTCAGAATGTGCTGGAATTTCCAGGAAAGCCTGCTGTGTTTTCTCTGGTCTCCGGAGAAGGCTCCTGGCCTTTCTGATACACATTTCAGCACCTCTGTCACATCCAGCCCTGGCTCCTCACCGCGACGCTGGCTCCGTTGTTCCTGGTCCTAGAGCATCAGGAAGCAAGCCTGCCCCTCACCGCTGGCCTGGCCTTCCCATTGGGGTAGCTTTGTTCAGTGCCCAACCTTTTTCTCTAGGAAAAACGAGCTCTCCCACCTGTGCCTTGGGGGAGCATCCTTCCTAAACCAACATTTGGGAATATCATTTTGGTTGTTCATAGGAATGTTTCCCAGATTCTCTCA